CGCGGGGCGACAAGTGGCTTTGGCGTATTGAGATGTCAAACGCAGCCAAGAGCAGCCGTCCGGATGGCAGTCGTCCCCTCCTTCACCTCCTGCCGGCTGATTCCGAGGGGATGTCCCGTCGCTCTGTCTCTCTCGCACCTAGACGGGACGCCCCATGAGTGCGAGAGAGAGACCTCCCACTCAGTCTCCTGTCGCCGCGGTCCCGGGGTTCAACATCCTGCGGCGCCAATCATTTCATCATCTGCCGGCGGGCGGCGGCTTCGCGCTACGCGTCTCCGGGGGCACCGCCCGAAAATTGAGTTTTCTTGGGGAGAAAAAAAGGACAGTACATCATCTTGCTTCTGCTTCTGCTGAGAATACCGTTGTTTAGATCAATGCGTTAGTTTACATCATCCTGAAAAGACGACTGCCAACCTGCTGTAACCATAGCAGCTTCCTGTCATTCATGGGATGAACGTTGAGTAACACTCATTCATTCATTTATTCATTCATTCTTTCAGTCATTCGTTCAGTATTTCACTTTTTCGCTCATTCATTCATTCATTCATTCATTCACTCACTCACTCTTTCGCTCACTCATTCATTCATTCATTCATTCATTCATTCATTCATTCTTTCATTCATTCTTTCACTCTTTCGCTCACTCATTCATTCTTTCTTTCACCCTTTCGCTCACTCATTCATTCATTCTGTCTTTCACTCTTTCACTCACTCATTCATTCATATTCATTCATTCATTTATTTATTCATTCGCTCTTTTGCGTACTCATTCATTCTCTCTTTTACTCATTCACCCGTTCACCCTTTCACTCACTCATACATTCATTCACTCTTTTACTCATTTACCCGTTCACTCACACATACATTCATTCACTATTCCACTTACTCATTCATTTCGCTTTACACTCATTCACCCGTTCACCCTTCCCCTCATTCACCCGTTCACTCACTCATTCGCTCTTTCACTATCTTTCACTCACTCTCACACTCATTCTCATTGCGTTTACACTCCAAATCGAAAGGCGGTAATATATCCACCCTTTACTGGCGGTAATTGGCTATTGGCGGGCTCCAGGTTTTACCGCCAATACGAAGGCGGTACAGAAATTACCGCCCTTACAGAACCGTTTGTACCGCCTTTGGAGAGCTTTACCGCTGATTTCTTGGCGCACTGAGAGAACGTAAAAGGCGGTAATATTTTGTACCTCCTTTTTCGCACCATCTAAATGGCATGCAATGGGCGGTAATACTTTGTACCGCCTTTTTCGTTTAATTTGTAGGGTGCGTAATTGGCGGGCTCCTGATTTTACCGCCAATAGAAAGGCGGTACAGGTTTTACCGCCTTTTCCACACCATGTGTACCGCCAATAGATTTGTAGTGTATCATAGCACATCGGTTCCCCCTTCACGAAAGAGCAGCGCGCGCGACCCGAAAATATCGCGAGTAGGGGCCGCAGCGCGGGACGATGGAGAACGCGGCCAAGTAAAGGTCCCGCCCCACCTCGCCCCGCCCCGCCCCGCCCCGACGTCTCCTCTCGGCGCTGCGCCCTTCTCCTCCAAGCTCCCCCTTACGGCTTGGAGCGGCAAGCGCCCCTCCCCGGTTAGTATAACGGCATCTCTCTCTCTCTCTCTCCGCTCCCCCGACCCCTTGACTCCAACTCCCCCCGAGGGGCTCTGCTCCGCCGGCAGGCCGATTCCAAGGGTCGTCGCTCTGTCTCTCTCGCACCCCTGTGGGCCTCCCCGTGCGTGCGAGAGAGACAGAGACCGGGCTCACGGCGCCTCTCAAAAGACCTCGCCGCCCTTTGTGCTTCGCGCGGCGCAATTATGCTCCTCCAAGTATATCTGCCTCGCGCTTCACTGACACGCCGCCGCGCAACTTGTGCTCTTGTTGTTGTTGCTGGCGCGCCTCGGGCCGCCCGGGCCTTCCCCGCCGCCGCGGCGCGCCCTCTTGTTGTTGTTGTTGCTGGCGAGGCCGGCGCGCGCGAAAGGAGCCGCAAACAATGACGCAGCTACACTGGTACACGCCATCGGCCGAGGAAAAGGGAGAGGCTGCGAATCGCGAGGCGAGACGGATTTCGGGAAAGGGCAAGACGGGTTCTGGAAGGCGGAGCGGTAAACAATGGCTGTTCTAAGTGTATTGCGAACCTAACGGCTTGCTTAGTACTCACGCACAAATGCATGCTTGCAAAAACGCACCGACAAATGCATGCTTGCTAGTACACACTGACAAACGCATGCCTACACGTACACAAAGTCTTTGCCTTGCCGCACGTCGCACCTTGCAAATGCTTTTGCCAAGTCACACTTCACAAATCCATTGCCCAGTCATACTTTTAGATGCGTACAAAAATGCATGCTCGGCAAAGTACAAGCTTTTAAGTGCACATGAGCACCCCAGGCTAAAGTGTTATGCGGGGACTTGCAAACTGAGCAGACGTTGTCGAGTAAGGAAAAAGTTAGTCCAAGAGAAGTTCAAACTTCAAACTGGGAATTTCCGTAGTCGGATTTTTTCCTTTGGTGTCTTCCCTATCATGATTTGCAGACAAAATTCGACACCTGGAGGTGATTTAAACGCGCTACAAGTTAATTGATGTCTGTCGGCTCTCGGTACGTTTTTCTTGACAATGGCAATGTATTAAAATCTAGAATCCGTCTTCCAATGTAACTTGTATTTTTGTCGGGCTTAAATCACAAGCCAATCAAAGGCTAAATCCACAGCTCTACTCACGAACGAGGCAACCGAGAACGAGAGAGAGAGAGAGAGAGAGAGGAGAGGAGAGAGAGAGAGAGAGAGAGAGAGAGGAGAGGGGGGAGGGAGGGGGGAGGGAGGGGAGGGAGAGAGGGAGGAGAGGAGAGAGAGAGAGAGAGAGAGAGAGAGAGAGAGAGAGAGAGAGAGAGAGAGAGAGAGAGAGAGAGAGAGAGAGAGAGAGAGGCAGACGTAGGACTTCTCGCGGCTGCCCCCTGAAATCGCGTCGCGGTGCCGGCGGCCCACGGCGGCCCCAAGAGGCGGGCGGTGGCGCGCTCTGCCGGCGTGCGGCGGAACCTCGCGGCGGGGTGGCTCAATCGATGGCCTTGCAGCGACTCCGTGTCGCGGTCCGCGGCGGGAGGCGCCCTCTGGCGGCGGATAGAGCAAGCTGAAGCAACGCGAACCACCCTCGCGGCCACCAGAGGGCGCGGGCAGCTCCAGCCCGGCGGCTCTTTCTCGGCCTCTCTCTCTCTCCCCTCTCTGTCTCTGTTTGCCTGTCTGTCTCTCTCCCCCTCTCCCTTTCAGCGTCTCTCTCTCTCTCTCTCTCTCTCTCTCTCTCTCTCTCTCTCTCTCTCTCTCTCACCTCTCTCCAGGCACCTAGCACTGCGAGGCGAGGAGACAGAGCGTGCCGAGTGTCACCCAGGCTGCCCCTGACCCTCCTCACCAAGCAGCGAGGGCCAGAGAGAGCGGGGGCACTGAAAAACCTGAAGTTGCGTAGCGGTACGTTTCATTCAAGCATGCAATCACGCTTTAAGTCGAAGGTACAGACGAAATTCTCCCACGCATTTCAACAGGCAGGAGAAACTCGGAACGAAAAACAACGCTTAGAGCCAAGCGTGCCAAATAACAGTGTAAGTTTCAAGTTAGGAGTTCGCCTTGCTTGCCGAGGAACTCCCCCACTTACACCTTTACTGAAAAAAATCAGGAGCCCTTTTTGCAATGCAGTTCAAAAGCGCGCTCAGTTGTCGGAAGACTTTCAGAAACTGTAGTAGAATGCGTTCAGAGGGTTTATCGTCTCAACCAGGAGCTGATTCTACTACACATTTCAAAAATCTGTCAGCCCACACCTAAAACAGACAAGCCCACAGCAGCAATTGTTTCCCCTTTTAACCACGACCAATAATAAACTACCCCACCGGGGGGTGCATCGACAAACACCGCGTGCATGTGGGCCTGTGGGCCTGTGTGTGTGTGTGTGTGTGTGTGTGTATGTGTGTGTGTGTGTGTGTGTGGTGTGTGCGTTCAGTGTGTGCGTGTGTTGGTGTTGTGCTGCAGCCACGCCCCGGGCCCATTATTTCATTACGCGATGATTGAAGTGCCAAACGGGGGCAGGGTGCACCCAGGGCTCGGCCCAGGGCTCGGCCCAGGGTGGGGCCGCGAGGCGCGAGCGGCGCAAGCTGTGCATCATCGATTGCAAGTTATTGATGGGCTGGCACGGCCTCGGGCAGAGGCCTGTGCGTGCGAGTGGGTGAAGGTACACTTGTAAGGTGTGGGTTTATGGTGTAGGTTTAGGTTGAAGGTGTGTTTGAGGTGTAGTAGAAATTTCTTCTAGTGCCCTCTTAAAAAGTTACCAACTATCCCAGGCCTAACAAATAATGTTTCTTTGTTCCTATAAAGCACTGGTGAAATCAAGGCATAAGTGCATAAACGATTTAAGCCCCTCGAAGGGCATTAAAATTTTGCCTGAAAGTCCTTCCAAAGGGTATTTAACAACTATTCACGCCCTCAATGGGCGTGAAAGACTGTTCAGGCCCTGAGAGGTGTAGGGTGCCTTTGTTTTACCAGTGAGGTTAAGAGAAAATATTTCCTTACTATGCGTATAGCAAAATATTAAAAATTTGTCTGATATATGATCGAATTGTGAGGTTTTAGCTAAGAGTTTGTATGAGTGTGTAGTGTTTGTGAGTGCTCGCGCATGTGTGTGTGTGTGCACGCGCGCGCACTCACTGCACTGAACATGAGTGTAAAACTTTGAGTCGTCAAAAGGAATCAAAGTCGTCATGCAAATCCGACAGTTGCGGCAACGAGACTGCCGCTTTGTTTTGGCGTCGCGGCCGCTCTCCATCACCGACATCACAGTGGTGGGTGCAGCAGACTGATTCAGAGAGCCGTTTCCGTCGCTCTGTCTCTCTTGCACCTATACGGGACGCCCCATGAGTGCGAGAGAGGAAAAGTGACTCTCTGCATCAGTCTGCAGTGCCAGTGGCACCAACTTGACTCGAGGAGCCGCATGGCGCGACATGGCGAGACTCACCGCTTTTCACTCGCGCGCTGCTGTCCGACGAGTGGTAACTCTTGCTGCTGGTCACTGCAACAAGAACGAGGGTCGCTTAGAGGATGCGGGGTCGGCCTGCCACTCGAGAGAGACAAATCAAAATGCAGTCAACACGGACACGGGACATGGTGAGCACGGAACAATTGGCATCTCGGGTGGGTCTCACTCAACAACATCGGGCGCAGCATTCTGCTTTCAATAAAATCTGAGAACTTAAGTTTAAACTTGTGCCCGTTTTCGTCTGCAAAGTTTGGATTTCAAAGTTCAATCCTTTTCATAGTGGCAATGTTATCTCGATGGACTTTATGCTACATTCTAATCGCAATTTTGAATGCACTGGACGCCAACATTGTAATTATTTCCGGTTCCCTATACGTTCCTCCTACACAAGCGAGTCCTTTGTAGTAGTGCCATGAAATCTTATTTTATTTAAATAAAGGCAAATTTAATTTGTATCACGGAAACTATTATTAAAGCAATAAAAGTGCTCTTATTACAAAATGAAAGCATTTATCTCATTTCGACAGAACTCCCTTTGGTGAGTGGGTGCTTTCATCTTGCAGCCTGGGCTTGATCTCGCTTTTACACTGGTAAAACTAAAGCGTAACTATATGCTTGAGTCAAGCATAATGTTACGCTTGAAGACGTTGCGCTTGAAGAAGCATAGACTAGAAATTTCCCCATGCATTAAGATAGAGAGATTATTGGTGGATGAGCCTGATACGCTTGATTTCAAGCGTAAACTAACTACGCTTGAAAACAGAGGATAACACTACGCTTTAGTTTTACCAGTGTATCTACCACAGTGGCATTGCCATCGTCCTTCCTGTTGACATGTTTTCCCTTGCTTGCTTACAGTTCACAAGCATGACCGATCAAGGCCAGAAAATTATCCTGACCGACTTTTAACCCGTACAAAAAAAAAGGCCTTTGCCAGACTCCTTTTTTTTTCGTGGCCTCTTTAAATCTGACGACTTTTGTTTCCTCTTCCGCTCGCAGTAACAGCTGGTTCACGGGGCCCAAAACTCGTGTCCGAAGGACGCATCCGAACGCCGCTCTCTCTCTCTCTCTCTCTCTCTCTCTCTCTCTTACCGCTGAACGGAACGGCACGCCCCGCGAGTGCGAGGGAGACAGAGCGCGGCGAGAGTACCGTTCTTCGGAACCGCCCCGCGGTACGCCTTTCCCGCTCTTCGATAAATCACGGCTAATGCGTGATGGTGGCAGAAAAAGTGGGAGCGACGCCGCGGCGTGTGGCACAACACACTGTGGCACTCCGCGAGGTGCTAATTACCTGCGGGGTGCCGAGGAAAGGGGAGGGGGATGGAGGGGGACGACGATCCAGAATATCGTTATCACGTCACATCGGCTGAATTAAAACGATGACGGATGCCCTCCACGCCGCGACCGCCCCCTCGTCGTTCATCGTTCCTCGTTGCGAGCGCCAAACACTCGGCCTTTTTTTATTGTTCCTCACCTATCGCGCGTCCTCGGCGCATCAGCACAGCACTCGAAAAAAAAAAAACAACCAGAAACAAACGTGTGATCTTGTGCGGTTTAACGATTTGAGTGCACCTACTTTCGGAGAAATCGAGTCGATTGAACCGAAAAGTCCTCGGAAGTTCGCAAAACTTCAGTCCCGTTTCGCCAGTTTTGTACTTTCAAAAATTAAGTTATCGGAATAGGGCTTTTCTTCTCCACACGATAAAAATAATGCCTCTGCATTTTTTTTTCAAAGTTGGCGGGGAAGTGCTGTTGTTCACCTTTTCGTTTATTTCATTCAGTTATGACTACTTTTGAAAAGGTATATGTAGTTCTTGCATAGAGAAATTTGAAACACTGAACATCAAAAAACACTTCCTCTGGCTGCTATATTTCGCTACACGGCAAAAACGGTACTTGGTTTTTCCAGGTAGTCCAGTTGAGACAATGCGATTCCCAGAAAGTCCCTGGAAAAATCAGAAACCGTTCTTGTTGTGTAGGCTTGGTATCTTTCATAATACTGACCATAAATCTACTACAGTATACAGCACACAAGGTGCCTGAATTGGCAACACGGTAAAAACGGTACCTGGTTTTCCCAGGAGGCCAATGGTAGAGACATAGGTCATTTCTAGGGAGCTCCTGGGAAAACCAGGAATCGTTTTTACCGTGAAAACCATCCGTTCTCTGAGCTGGCCGCGTCTACGCAGCGTGCGGCAGCATGGCCTCTTGCCGGCCCGGCTCCACCGCCGCCGCCTGGACCAGCGCGTGCCGCCCCGCCCCCGCACCGCCCCAGCAGCCCGCCGCCCCATTGGCCCCGGCGTCGCCATGGCAACGGCAGGGCAGGCTCGGCCCGGCCACCATCATACCTCGGGCCGAGCCGCCGCGGCCGCGATGCCAAACTTATTCCAGAACTCAACCCTGAGACAGACACAACTTTTCGAACGAGATGACTCATTCAGAAAGTGTTATTCGTTGTCGAGATTGGATGAGGCCTCTCCACGATGATGTCATTTCGATGCCAATGTGACACTCGAGGGTTTTCGAGACGGTTTAAGGTGTAACGACATTTTCACGCATGCTCACCGCATGCTCATTATACGGTTCAAAACCAATGTACAAAACAGGTCATGAACAATTGTATCACCGCCAAAGAGATAGTACTCTAATTAAGGTGAGACACCAGCAAGACTGGGGAAATAACACCCTATAGTACCGGTGGTACAATAAAATATCCCCCATTTAATGTCATATCGAAGTATCACCGTTTTACGGTCGTACATTCTAGTATGTTGAGTGTTATCGGTCAGACATGAGACTTGTTTTACCCCTTGAAGGGTGGCAAGTCTCACCTTTCGATTTTTAGAGGTTTGCGCTGGTGCACACTCCCTCGGAAATTCCGATGGCAGAAATTTTTTTCAGCACGGCTGGCCACGCTGAAAATCAAATGGAAAGACTCAGTGCCAAATTGACATAGAGTCTTGCCAAGTTTTTGGCACACTTAAATATCGCCAAAATAAGGTCCGACAAAAATGTCTCGCCAGAAAACCGTCTGACTTTTCACCTGACCACTAAACATAGGCCGCCTAGGCCGTATTGAGTGAGTCTAAAATTCTGGCCAAATTGTGGTAATTCATAAATGTCTCACCCTTAGGTGGTCAGACCGTTCCGTCTGACCAAATTTTGGACCGATTTCCAGCAGTCTGTCCGAAACTTGGCAAGGACTTTTGGTCTCGCGTCTGGCTGAAGTGGCCACAAGTTTAGTCCGACCTCTGGGTTTGCAGTGCAAGGTCTCAGCACTGCGCACAGCAGTGTACCTCGACGCGACCTCGAAGCCCGCTGGGGGCGTTTTCGAAGACCGCCCCAAAGGTCCGCGGGGGCGGCGGGCCTCTCGGCGGGCCTCCTAGGGCGGGCCGAGCCAGGGTCCCGCGTCTGCAGGCAGTTAGTATAAGTGGTGCGGAAATGAAACCTAAAAATAAAAGCCGTAAGTCGGGGCGAAAGTTAACTGGCCAGGTCTTCCCCACCACAGTCCGCGCGGTTCCCTCGCACACCCCGCCTCACCCCACCCCACCCCGCCCCGCCCCGCCTCACCCCACCCCGCCCCACCCCGCCACGGCTCTCATTTCTCTTCCCGGGCTGCTGGGCGAAGAAAGGAGCGAAAGAAAGTTGGGGCGGAAAAGAAATCTGCGCGCAAAAAATTAACGACGGCGAGATAGAATAGTATTTTGATGTACGGCGGCGGGGGCGAGGCGGTCGGAGGGGGAGGGGGGAGCTGGAGCTTCTCCAGGAGGGGCGGGGGTGATTTAGGGCTGCCAGATTACGGCCCTAAGTGGTCCGAGAGGGAGGGGGGGGAGGGGGGAGGACTGTCCCGTGCCGGCCTGGCCCACCTACTGAAGACCAGTAGGAGTATCGTCTTGCGTCATCGAAAATCCGAATCCCCCCTAAAAAAAAGAAAAATTAGAACGGAAGGAAAATAATGACACACCGCGGCAATACGCGCGCGAAGCCACGCAAAAGAAAGAGCACACGACGACCGCGAGGCATGGGGAGGGGAGAAGAAAACGAAGGGTTATGCAAGTTTACAGCAGCGAGCATGGGGCAAGATTGGGGAGTCGCGAGGGCAGGAAAGGGGGGGGGGGGGGGGGGGGGGGGGGGGGGCTCGACCGGACGGACGCCCTTAGCAGGTAGGCAGCCCGCCGTGCACCGCACAGTGGGCCAGAAGACCGGTGGAGGCGGCCAAAATTCCGGACGCGTTTTGAGCCCCAGAATCGCTGAATGGGACTCGAACCGAACGTGTGACCCCACCAATGGATTCCTCGTTCGAAGAGCAATCCATTGGTGGGGTCACACGTTCGGTTCGAGTCCCATTTAGAGACTCTGGAGCTCAAAACGCTTCCAGAGTTTTGGCCGCCTCCACCGGTCTTCTGGCCCACTGTGCACCGCGGCTGAGCGCGTCCCGCCCGGGGCATGGATCGGCCCCGCCTTGGCCCAGCCAGCAGACTGACTCCGAGAGTCGTTTTCGTCGCGCCGTCCCTCTCCTCGCACCTATACGGGACGCCCTATGAGAGCGAGAGGGGCAGCGCCACGAAAACGACTCACGGAACCAGTCTGCAGCGATGCAGGCGGGCTGATTCCGAATAGCAACACCTTTGCCGCGCTGCTGTCTCTCTCGCACTGGATGGATATAGAGCATCCCCAGCGGGTGCGAGAGAGACAGAGCGACGAAAGCGCCGTTCGGAATCGGACCGCACTGTGGTGCAGCACTGTGGCGCCGCTGCAAGGGTGGGAAGGGGGAGGGGGCGGTCATTAGCGCGTCTTCCCCTATTAATGCGTCTTTTTAGCTTTGGGGGTCGAGGCGTGGCGTGGCGTGGCGTGGCGTGGCGTGGCGTGGCACGGCCTGGCGTGGCGAGGCGAGAACTTGGGATTCTGGCAACAGCTCGTTAGAGAAAACTGCCCGACGCGAGGCGAGGCGCGCGAGAAGCCCGGCCGCGATGAGGCCCGCGGCTTCATTTGCGAGGGAAAAAAGAGGGGGAAAAAACAACAAAATACCAGAA